TAAGTTCCCGAAGTAAATAGGGCATAAGCCAGGCCAATGTCCCGACAGACCAATATACAGGGCGTAGAGGCTTCTTCTCTCAACTCGAGTAATGCTCAGTTAGATTTATGCTTTCGAGCGGCAGCATCACGCGGAGAGCATTACAGCCAGTGCGATCATAGTAAGAGAGTATAGGAGTAGGTGCAACTTTCTTAACAAGAAACCCGCGTCTGTTCCTAATTAACCTAGGGGCATAGCAAGATTATAGTAGCCGATCCGTAGTAGGGATCTCGAGACAGGATATACTCGTATTACTAATTCTTCAACAACGCCGCCGCCACCAAAATAAAGTTTAATTCCCCCGTTAAGAAATATCTTAGGACTTCAATCACACCGCACTAAGTATAGGGCCGGCCGTCCTCCGAATACGATTCCTACCGGGGCTTTATAAGACGTAACGTTCTCCGAGTTCTCTTGCGTTAGCAATAGTTAAATACCTAAAGAATCCGTTATCAATAAGTTAACAACACGAACATCATATCTAAGCCTAGCTTTACCTCTGCGAACACCGTCGCTCCAACGGCAACCGGGAACCTAATCGACCTTTACTACGTTATATTTAGTATTAATTATAACGTTTCCACTCTCCTCGTTCTTTTACGGCTTTACCACAAGCACTATTCAAATTATTTCAGGCTAAGCGATAATAAGTAATCACGTAGCCGAAGGACGTACAGCAGAAAACATAACTAACGTACTATACCTAGTGTAGGCGGTCTTTTCTTAGGTAAGTACGAGATAGGAGTTCACGTTCATAAGACCAAAGACTTATTGCGGCACGCTAGGTATTTTCGTCCGCCATGCAAGTTCTAATAATAGGCAAGTATACCCCCCAATAGCAGACCGGAGAAGAAGTGCTAACGAGGTCGACGTAGTCGCGATATCTATAGGTATAATCTGCTTCCCGCAAGGATCCATTCCAGACGATCGATTCCAGATATACGTCGAGGTGCGTACCGTAACCTTTTTAAACAAAATAACCATAATTAATAAGTAGTCATAGCTCAGTTACAATACGGCGCCGGCGTTTATATTATCTATTAACTATGCGAAGGTATCCATACTCTACTTTTATCTAAAATTGTTCGGGCGGTCCGGGCTGTTGTTGAACACCGCTATAAAGATCACACAAGGTGTTGTAATTACGATCACAGTCGCTATCACTCTGCTACTATACCTCTCGCGCTTATCAAGTCTATTACTCGATACCGTGGCGCTCTTTTTAACAACGGCTACCTCAAACATCATCATAAATATTTTGTTGCTAATTCTCCCAATGCCCGCTATGTTTAACCTCTAGATAGCACTTAATACTAAGCTTCTTATCGCAGGACTATTCGGTCTAGGCTTCCTATATATCGTCATACACTAGAGCTTCGATTAAGAACTAACATAGATCGCAGAACCACTATTATCTCTACCCTCCGGCTATATCTTCTCATCCAGATTCAAGGCAGCGAGGACCTAACATAGGACGCCGCGCCGGCTAATATCACTTCGTACATTTTACAGAAATACAACCTATAATAATTACTAACGAACGAAAGGTTCCTCAAAGTCAATCTCCTTCTGATTTACGCTTATATGCCCGCTGTGCGCCAATTCTTTAAAGACCTTAAGCCCGACTCCTCTATAGTAAGTCGATCCACCTTCACAAACCGAGTCTCAGGGACAAGACGGTCACCTCTGGAAAGCTTAAGTTAAGTTCAATTACGCAATACCAATGTAAAATTAAGAATCCTTGCCCCGAGAAGTCAATCAAGCGGCGCGGATAGTGCAATATGAAAGTAGCCAGACAGAGCCAAACTCCCTATCTAAACAGGTTAGCCGAGAAAAGGTAGATTACATAACTACCGAACCCAGCCCTACCGGCCGCTACACGTATGCTACTATTCGGCTTACCCGGTTTCGCTAACGTCTACCCCAAATAGTCTAATAACGTAAACAATACCCCGCTCCTCTACAATAGAGCCATAGTCTTACACTCTAGATACGAAGGCCGGGGCTGCCTAGCACTAGCGTCTATAATAGCTATCCCAGACCTCGTTTCGTTAACATAACTATCCTTTCCTACGTAATTAAGCGGTGAGCGATCGTAAGCACTTTAGCAAAATACTTATAACTAAATATGGGCGAATTTAAAAAGTCGTAAGTATAAAAACCCGACTTTATCCCTATCCCTTTTAACCTCTACGATTAATCACGGTCTCCTTCCGCATCTCTTAAGTAATTATAAAATTTTTTTATCTCATGGTCGTATTTATTTTAACAGCTATTATTATCAAATTAGCCACCGTTAAATATTTTAAAATTAAATATATATATCGGTAATCTATATACTATTTTTATACTAACGCTAAGTTAAAAATATTTCGCTCTCTTAAAAGACGACGTATTTTTTAAAAAAGTTTTAACTCCGTACAATAAAGATTTTTACTATCGTTTAAAATCGTATTACTCCGCTAATATAGCTAAGCCACCTCGCTATATAGTATTACTTTAGACCGCTAAAAACGTCGCCAAGACTATCTAAATTATATCTACTTAAGACTATCATTTTAAGATAAAAAACGGGGCTTACTCGGCGTTTTATAGTTTAAACGGGCTTAAGGATAAGATTATAATCGATTTCGGTAAGTATCGCCTCTTCGTTTACTATTAAAACTCATGTAAAATAAGCTATATAAACTCGATTAAATATAAACCGACCACCGACATCGCTTCCGTCCGCCTAGGCTTAAACTAAGGAGATATATACTCCGCTCTAGATTCGTTTAGTATTACGGCTATTAAAAAACGAGCTTTTATCGTCGGGGTTAGGGTTTTATTATAGGCGATAAGGTATATATACTTTACTACTCTGCGTATAAGACCGTCGCAAACCTAATAAAAACTAAATTCTTCCTAATAAAAAAAAACTAACTCTTAATAATACTTTTTCCACAGCAATAAAAAAGGATTCGCTTACGATAATATTATTAATTTTAAAGTTATTCTCGCTAATAATACTATTATTAACGCTAACGTATATAAGAACGCTAGTCTTTAAAAAGCTTTTAAAGGGGGCTTAGGAAACTTTAATTTCGTTACACAAGTTAATATCAATAAGTAATGAATAATATCGTATCGTAAGCATACCTAATAAAACGCAATAATAACTAACTTTTCCACAAAGGTCGTCCGTTCGATCTAGAATAAGGCGGGATTACAACTTACGACTTAAGCAAAATAAGCAACGTAGTCAACGCTTACGTAAATTTCGTCAATAACATAAACAAAAACCCGGCTAGCCAGGCCATTATAACTCTATTATATAGCCAGTAAGGGTTAAGCCTCGTCGCAATATTAATAAACAGTAACGCGAAAAGTTCCGCACCCGCCTTCTAAGAATTTACTAACATTACCAACGTTTTGAACATAGCTCGCGTCGAATCTATCGTAAATATAATTCCTAAGTTCACCGAACCAACTCCCCTAAGACTTTAATACGTCTCATATCGAAATTCACTAAAAGGGCGACGTAACTAACCATAACACAACGCCGATTAAAAAACCGGTATAACCTTATACGACGCCCCTATTATAAACTTTATTCTTCATACCGTACCCAAATACATAAAGAAAATACAGCTCGCAGCTCTAGTCTCCGACTTCGAGCTTCTCACTCAATTCCAACCTATAACCAAATCGATAATAGCCCATAGCAACGAACGAGGCGGCAACGTCCTCGGCCTTAAAAAAGTAGTCACAAACGGTCCGGCTCTCATATAGCTCCTAACACTCACGGTAAATACCGCAGAAAACCAAAAATTAATCTTACCTCTCTTACTCGAACTTAAGCGTATCATCAACAAGTATACTAATAAAGAGGGACTTCAAGAAGACTAAGAGTTCCTAAACTACAGCGGCCTTAATCAAACGCCAATTTTACACTATAACAAAAAAACAGTCCACTTCATAAAGAACACTTCGTTAAAATACGACCTAGGCAAAGTTTTCCAAGACCTTCGGAAGACGGGCTTTCGGATCCCTATTTAAGTCCTACTAATCGACAGGTATAATACGGAGAAGGCAAGAGCGGCCGTAACGTTTCAAAATATCTAAATTCCAAAACGCAGGCTATTACCTATCTAACTTTCACTAATATTTAAACAACGAGATCACTTTAAACAATAGACACATAAAATAAATACCTACCTAACTCATAGCGGTACCGATATACCCTAAAAATTCGCAATCGAAGGGATAATTATATCGGCTAATAATCAACGCCACCCCCTCCATATAACTAAAGAGCGCCACCCCCACTACGACTTAGACCTTACATACTCGTAACAAAGGCAGTCAAACAAACGGGGCAAAGCGGGCCGTTACACCCCTTAACCGGCACAACGGCACAGATAAAATCTTACACTACATACAGCTCTAGCATATAGCGCAGCTACCGGCCGGAAGTTATCCATCTATCTATCGAAACATAAATAAGAATCGCGGATGCAACTACGGCAAAAAAAAAAATAGCTATTCTACTAAGAGATTAAAGGAAACTAAGGCGGCTAAGATATCCTCATAAGTAGAAAGCATACTAATAATAATCAACGAGAATAAGTAGTTAATTCTCAAGGTCGTAAACGGAGCTAAATTTATAAACAAAAGTATCATCCACTCGCTAAGACTCAAAAAGGTCATTATTAGAGATAGACTGTCTTTGTTTATTAGCCCTCCCAACGGTATCATCCTCTAGTCTAACTAGATTGCTGGATTGGTATTTCCCAATTCACCTGCCGGTATAGATAGACCGCAGCAAGAGCAATGAGAAGTGCTTGGAAGCTAACATCAGCGAGGTTCACCTACGCCTACGGGTTCGGGGCTAAGTACTACTGCAAAAATGGTCATGTAGTCGTCCTTCTAAAGCCCACCGGCGTATTGTTTGCTTGTGAATAGACGAAGTGTCACAATGACTAAGACGAGGCTGCAGCTGATGATAAGCGCCCGTTGGACTTCCGTCCTTCGCGATGCTTTTGGATACGCTTTGTATAGGGCTCCCTCCACCGTCGTTGCAGCTTTATAAGGTTAGATGGGCTTCCAGACTAAATAGGAAACGGCGGGGCCAACTTAGTTGATCGTCGAACGGGCAGTTTGTCTGTACATATGTCGAAAGCTGCGATTGGATAGCAATGTTGGGACAGATGTACGTAGTCGCGTCTTTTGGATCGTAGGCGGACGTGATGAATGTTTTGCTGATGTACTTAGAGTGGATGATAGATGGCCCGTTAGCGTGACGAAAGCCCGGCCGATGCTACGAGTACTTACGGCGCACGACGGAACTTGCGAGAGGATCTCGGCGGCCGATGTTGCTTTCACGGCGGCAACAGCAAGCTGGAGGACCAGCACTGCGAGAGCCGACGATCGACGAGACATTATATAGGGAAGTCCGACGGGAGGGCGCGAGAATGCTGGTGCAGACGTTGCCGGTGGTACCACCGGTGTTTCGACGCTGGTCGAGTTGGCATCCTGCAGCTGGTGGTCGATCCGCTGCGGGAGAGACTTAATGAAATAGATGGGATGCGTATAGTACGGTACGAGAAGACGTTTCTGGTTTTGATCGTAGTACAGTCGACGAAACTTGTTTCTTGCGCTGAGGCGCGAGAATGATAAGGAGCTATTTACGCCGCTGGTGGGCACTTTGCGGACGAATCCCTCATTTTTTGCTTCCGCTCCTTCGCCGGGAGTTTTACGGTAGCGTTGGGCTCCGTCTTTCGATGCTTCGTGCTTCGCCGCTTGGCTTTAAGTAAAGGTGAGCGAGGTGCTCTGGGACTCCATGCAAGCCATCGCCGGCATCACTAATGTGTCGCTTCTGTCATCGTCGTAAAGGTAGAGCTTGCGTCGCTCAGTAAAGAGCATAGGACATTGCATGTAGACCACTCCCTGGACGTTTGATAGATACTGGGGCAGGTCGGCTCCTCACGCGTGAGCGGGATGGAAGGAAGACGAAATCTTTTTCCAGGAATAGTCACGAGCAAATTACATGTATAAAACAACACACCCTCCTACGTAATAAACTCAACAACTACTCTGTGTCGCTGTCATCCTCTGCGTCAGACGCATAGCTTTTATCCGACACGTCTGAGCCCTCCGCAAAGTCGGATTCGGCACCGCCGTGCTCGTCGTCTAACCGCCCCGTATCCGATAGGTCTGAGCCTTCGCCAGATTCAATGTCAGAACGGGAAGGCTCGTCGTCCTTGTCGTTGAACAGATCATCATCCACGTCACACATGGAGTGGCCCGCCGACTCTAGCTCATCGTCGCTGAGCGTGTCGAGGAGTAGCTCCGCCGGGTCTACAGAGCTTATCTGGAAGATTGCTCATGTCCGGTGCATGGTCGACTTATAGGTGTCGGGAAACAAGATTCGCACGCAGCAGTACATATTAAGCATTTTTCTTAATATTGAATCGTCGCAAAGATCGAAAGTCGCCGGTAAGATCCCGGGGTGAACAGCGTCTTCCGGCGCATCGATTTCCTAGATGCGCGCGGCAAACATCAAGACCTGCTCCAGCACTTTGGTGGCAATAGGCATGTTTCCAAATTCAAAGTTCAGTGCCTTGTCGAACTCGAACAACAGGTTGGTCCTATTATCCGACGGGCCGTCGTCACCTTCATCGGGTGACTCCCGGACTTTTAGGCACGCTAGAAGCGCGGCGACCTTGATAACAAACTTTTTGCTTTATAAGGGCCCACAAAGACAGCTTATGATGTAGGCGATGAACCGGTTTCCCGCGGTGCTGTTCATATCCTCTCTGACCCTGTTTAGCGGCGGGTACTACGTGTCGTCGGTTAGCCCGTTGTGAGGGTAATTGACCGCTAGGCAGATGGCGAGGCAGCACCGCTCATTTTGTCTCAGCAGGTTGGTCCTAGGTCCCATTAGCAGGATACTCCTGTGGCATTGTGATAGAGCGCCGCTCACTATATAGAATCCATGACTCCTCCTAGCGCGTCCATGGCGACTTAGCAGCCCAGCTTACGCCTTTGCTAATAACGAGATTTATATCGTCAGCACCGTGGCTCCAGACTACCTTTCTCTTTGAACAAGGCACATTGTGCTTTTCGTACGTGTCGTCCCATGTTGACGTCCGACATTGTCTCCCAAGAAGCGTATCTCCACGCGACCGGACTTTGAGAAGCCATTATCGGCTCGGCGGGCAGCGGTTGGCGTTGATGGCCGTTTCCGCAACGACGCCAGGACTATAGAGGTAGTCTCGAAGTTGATACTGAACCGCACGATATTAATGGAGTCTGCTGTGTCGAAATGAGATTACCTCGCGGCTTATTCACCCGTGAAAGCTCTAGCTTATTTCTCCACTTATCGAGTTGGCGACGGAAATAGCCCGATATGGCGTTTAGAATCTTGTCACGGCTTACGAGAAGTATATCTCATCTATATCTGGCTTCCATTTCGCGCTCAGCAGTTGTCCTTATATAAAACGATCCACGACGCCCACCTGCTTCGGTAACGCACCGGCACCCCGCCGCATTGCGATGGTAATACTATAGTAGCTAGACCTTTAAAGCGCCCTCGTCGGTCAAACGGCTTGCCGCGCCTACTAACCGATATAGATAACGCCGTCGCGGCCTTGGGCGGGAGAACCTATGCAACCGACCTTACGGACAGTACCATATAGTCTCAGAAGGCACCGGTCAGTAAGGAGGAACGTCTAGAAGAACTCGTGAGAGATTCCGGCCGCCTCAGGCAAGAGCTTGGTTATTGGAAAGGTGTGGCCCTCACAGGGACCGCCTTCATGTCCGACGTCGAACAAGCTGTGGTGCGGCTTCGAGATATTGTCAGCCGTTTCGAGAGCGTCATGAATGAGACAAACGCTGTGTCTGCAGAGGAAAGTATAGGTGATGGTTATCCGTTTGGATCTGGGTCGAGCAAAGGGGTGGAGGGACAGGCTTTAGACGAGCTAGACTTGCTAGTAGCAGAGGATGATCTTGGTGTACTCTTTGCTCTAGTCAGGCGGGGCCGAGAAGGGTATGAATTCGAGGCTGTCAAGCCGGAGATCAAGCGGACCAGGCCACCATACAACCCTGGAGGTTGGCTCTGACCGTGATGCCATAGAATGAGATTGAGCCTTCATGCCCATGCTTACAAATGCATCATCGCTGTCATTGTCGTGGGACACTTCTGTAATCGAGAGTTGTAGGCTTCTCGTTTGGTCCCCGGCTAATAGACCGTTGCCGCACGCGCTAAATGAGATGTTTTAGGGTTACCCCTCGGAGCTCGGCGTAGCCAGTGACGCAAGTAGGTGGCCGGCCGTGAACGCCAGGTCCAAATAGCTTCGTGTCGATAGATCAAATTGATTGGGAAGCGAAGAGCGATGCCTCCTTGGTAACCAGACGACGCGTATCGTCTTGACTGGCGTTTCTGGGGTCGCTCTAGCCGTGGTGTTCCGGTGTGGTGGGCCGGTGTGTCCCAGGCTCCAGCGCGCCAACGACGTCCGCAATTAGCCCTACTTAGGCACTGGGTAAATTGAAGCAAAACCAGCTAATCGATCGCCTTTTTGTTAGTGGATTCATTCGCGGAATAAAAACCTACCGCGTCCTGCCCTTTTTTTGGGCTGTCTTCTTCTTGCTTGCTGAATCCTAGCCTTTTCCGTTTCTCATCCTTTGTAAATTGACGACCTTAGCAACTTTATTTTTAACGTTAGCCTCCCCTTTTTAGCTTTTTATCTCTCCTGCGCGTCCTTGTTGACGAGGCCTGTCCTAACCGTTCCGACCGTTTATTTGCTGGCGTGACTTATTGTGCGAGCGGGATCGGGTACTCGTCGGAATTAATTTAGAGCGCAGCATTCGCAGCTTCACGTTTGAGTTCGTGACTAGACACCCCGGTCATTTTACTGTTCGCATAATAGCTATACATGCACTTTGAGCCGGGTCGGAGCCTTGCCGGATGCGTCTCGTTTAGGAGGACCGCGCTGAGGAAATGCTGCGAAGGGCGAGAAAGGACGATGCTAGTATGACTATAGGTAAGTACCGGCTCCTCTCTTGCTCGGTGTCGGCTATTGCGCTTCTCCGTGTTCTTTTAACCTTATAAAAGCAGTCGAGAAAGGTTTTAATATACCGCCTTGTGACCCGGACGATCCCGATTTTGATGTCCACGAAGTTATCGCGGTGTGTGAAGATGAGGGCTAATTACTTGAAGTGATTGAGCAGCGTCTATAACTCCGCGCCCGATACTATTCCCCCGGCCTTATTTATTTCCGATTTTTTTTAATACCTAACGGTATATTAATTAATATTACGACTTAGCTATAGATCTGAGCGAATTGTATTAAGTTATTAAACAAAACGCTTTACAATAAAACCGGTATTAACGGCTTAGTTCTATTTTACTTTAAAATTATTCGCTAGCTCCTCCACGGTATATAATCGGTAGTTTATTTTTAATTTTAATTATATAGCGAGGGTAAGATCGACTTAGTTACGCTAATCGACTTTAATAATAAAAATACGCCTAACGAACTTATTTTGGATATTTAGGTATTATTAGTGTCCCTTGCGACAGCCTTGCGGTTTTTTATATATTTCTGGTATAATATTTTATAGCGAAAGACGTTTGCGATTTATTAAAAGGCTATTTTAGGTTTCTTTTTTTTGATAGAAAGGGATAAGAATGCGTATGAGTATATGGTGGACGTGGGTAGGCTGTATTATAGCGCTGGCGGCAAGGTGGATAGGCCTTATGACCAGGAGGATTCTCCGTCCATAAAAGAATATCTCAATTCCCCCGGCCCGGCCATGCCTATATCGTGTGGTAGCACTCTTCCTTTTGAGGATGTGCTACCCGAGCGAGGCTTACCCCCGCCGTACGATGAATGTTTAAGCGAGGAATAGTCGCCGAAGGCTATCTTAAACGCCGTAGCTATTGTGGCCGAAAGCTTCAGACGCGATTACGATTATAATTACGACCGCGACCCGCCGGGTTATAGCGATGCTGACCGGTAGAATGATTAGTCGGATTCCTTTTAGGGCGTCTTCCCTTTAGGAAACGCAGATATCTATATACAACCTTTGAAACGAAAACGTTTACTTACTACCGTATACACCGTAACGACGCCTACACGAGACGCCACTTATCGGAATAAATCGTAACGGTTACCGTCAGCCGACCCCGACAGTCTATTAATACGTGTATTTGAGCAGCAGCAATAGTAGCAATAATAGATCGATAATTTACGATAAACGGTAAAGGAACTATAGGAATATAATAAGGAGCTCGAAGCGCGGTGCGATGACTTGGAGAAAAAATGTAGTGAGGTAGAAGATAGTTAATTTGAAAGCGTGGAGGCTGTCGGCAATCTCGATATTGCGGTGGACGAATTTTAAGCTAAGTGCGATACGCTCGAGATGTAGATACCGGACGTCTATGATGAGATGGCGGATCTTAAAAAGAAGTTAAAGGACCGTAGAGAGGAATTGGAAGAGGACAAGCCCGAATCAGTCAAGGATAGTATGATGAAATAAATACGCGAGACGATTGAGGCTAAGTTCAGCTAAGCTAGATGCAGGGCTCTGAAAGCCTTCCAACCATTATGGGTTAGCGAAGAGATTAAAATGAAGTAATTCGATAAATAAATACCCCTTTATGAGAATAAAGACTCCCGCTGCCTGGCTATTGGTTTGCAATACCTATAACGCCACTAATGAGCACTTTTACCTTTAAACTTGTAGCCTTCGTGCTCCCCACCCTTAACGACATCCTTCCTAAGCTTAAGGTCGCTAATATCAACTCCTCTTATCGTTACTATGGATACGTATACGTACGTCATATCGGTGTCGTGGCCGAGGTTTATGATAAAGGTCTTCTACGTGCGGTACGGGACCCTATTAATGACAAGGCGTCTATTCTCTTGGCGCATAGGCCGCAGTTGACGCACGCCCTTGTCCTTCCTAGCCCGTTCCGGGACCTATTATGGTTAACGCCTTCGCCGCCGGCGCGGAAACGTTGGCCAAAAGTATTGTTTCTGTTAGGGTCCGGCCGCCTGAGACTACTGTGGGTATTATCTATGTAGCCCTGAGGGAGGGGTCTTCTGATGTCTGGGATGCTATTATCGCCTACGTTCGCTAGGGTGGCGCCGCCATTGGGTCTAGGTTAATAATAGAAGGCCGTTCTTCGTAAAAGCTGGATGAGACTGGGAAAGCGGCGGCTGCTACCGGGCCGCCGTCGCGCTTAACCTATAAACGGTCGGTAGCGTTGTAGAGACTTTTGACCCGGTACGGCTAGAAGGCACTGTTTCCGAAGAGATCCTATTCTACTGCGGTTCTATGAGATATCCGGAGGGGGCACGTTTATTTTTTTACCGTCATAATGTCTTTTTGTAGTTGGTGACTATTAAGAGCGGTTGGCCCTTGTGCTTTCAGGCCATAACATAGAAACATCTTTAAACGGCGTCTTGGTAGCTGCTGCGACAGACCTCGGCGCGCATCGGCTGCTGTTTCTTTTTGGAGATGAAAGGCGAGAATTGCGTAAGAGAGCCTTTTCGTTTAATATTGTATGGTGTATAGTTACAGGGGCGTGCCGCGCCGAATTATTTTTAACAAACGGACTACTCATCTAGAAATGGCTGTGAAGAAGTAAGACGGGTAGAAAGCCCCCGTACGATGGCGTACTCGACTGCGCTTCAGACGCTGGTTAGCGTCGATTCGTGCCAAATGTCGGCCAACCCCTTTACCCGGGCACTTATCGTCGTCGTAGTAGGGCAGCCTAACCTGCTAGCTGCTCGTTAGTTATTATTACCCTGTATTTGACCTTCCATCGCCTACGGCGCTTGCTTTTCGCTTGCCCGAACGCTTGTTAGCTTCCTAGGTCTCTGCGAGCTGGCATTAAGAATAGAGAGTACCTCCATAGCTGTTGCGACCAGAACAGAGCACCCCCTGCGTAGGCCCGGGTTGTGTAATTTGACAAAGGTCTATAAATGCCTATTGAATCGATATAAATAGCGCGGCAACCTCCCCAGTTATATACTTCACATCCTGCTCTAGTATACCCTAACGCTCGACAACATACTCAGCGAACCCTCCGACGGCAATGCCTTTTCGAATCTTAATACGGCGTCTAGTGTCGTCCAGTTCGGCCACGCAGGCCTTTGACCAGACCGAGGCTTTCCGAGAAGAATTGGCCGGACCGCACACCCCGCCAGCAGATGCTATGTCACTATCGGTAGATGTATAGTACTAACAAGCGGACATGAAATCGTACTATGGTACGACAAGCCTTGCTACGGCGGAGTGCTCGTTATTATCCCCCGCAAAGCTGACGTCCTTTAGACAACCCACCTTCAACGATATAGTCTCGGTATATACGCGGCAGTCCTCGGACGTCATATCTTCGAGTATGGCTCTCCAGGAACAGATGTTCAGCGGTTGTGGTAACAAGGGCTCCGCCGGCCATTCAGCTCAGATGTGCCCTAATTGTTTACATACTGTGTTCATGAAGTAAGTCAACCCGGATACGGTGAAGCGGTGGATAACTACTAATACGTCCAAGTCCTTGTGTTCTCAGATCGCTATATAGTCAACAATGTTTCGACGCTCTTAGCTCAGGCGGCTGCGACCTGGTCTTCCTTTATCTAGCTCACAACTGCTATTGCTGATGGTATGCTGGATGTGGTAGTTATTTGTTCAAGCTAGTAGAGCATAGTATACCGAGCGGCTATTGCGCGGAGACTACGTATCTCAAAACCGGATACACGAATGGATATTTGACAGATGCTGCTGACTCTGCCCATGCTGTAGCAGACGAGCCGCTCTACCCGTGGGTCTATGGCTTTGATGGTTAACCTATCCCGCAACAGGAATTTGTTTTAGAAAACGGCGGCGATTGGGGTGTAGCTGGGGAGGGTCTCGGGCCTACTACTGTTCCATCATCGACCTTTCTAGGGTAGATAACCGCCTTAAACGGTTGAGAGGCTTTATCTTTCTTGCCCTATTTTGTCTACGTACGGTTCTGTGCCATACTATACCATATAGGCGGTGGTATTTGAATTTGGAATAAGACTACAAATAATGGCTAGATTTTTCTAAGAGCGGCGATTTAAAAACCCTTTCCCTTCCATGTCAAAGCGATTTTCTGAATTCACAAGTAGTTTCAAAATCAACATCCGGCAAGAACCGGGAATAGTGTCAACACTCTACGAAACGTCTGTCACGTGTATTATCTGGCGAATTTCACTCCGTTTATAGACCTTGTTGTTCTTCTTTCCGTTCGTTTTGACTAGACATAAGCCATTGTAATGCACCTCCTATGTCTTTCCGTGCGTGCCATAACTCGCGACGACGTGACGTCAGTGTTTATACTAATGCTCTTGTCTTTTATCCCGCGCTCGCAGCCGTGTTCCTATCTTAATCAACTCAGAACCTCTCTAATATGCTTCTAATTAAAGAATGACCGGCCGCCGTGCCGTCCAAGTCCACGCGACGGACAAACTAAAGAGGTTCTATAGCTGGCTTGCTGGCTTCGCAGGAGTCCTCGCATTCTGCCATTTCATCTACGTTGATAATAGAGTATATATTGAGAGTGCGACCAGAAGTATCGTGCTCAATTTCTACTCTGGTAGTTTCCGTGGGACGCCGTGTTTGGCGTTTCTTGTTACGGAATACGGCGGGTGAAGCCTGGCGAGCCTCCAACGTAGATTGACGAGACAAAGGTCGGTTGCTGTGGATGACGTGGTGTTGAAATTGCCTTGATGGTGCCTTTGAGACCGGCGTAGAGCGAGACGTCTTTGGGGGGCTAGATGTAAGGGGCGTTGGCTGAGGCCTCTCTACGTGGGGCGACATGGAAGAAACCTATTTACTCACGACGTCGAAAGAATGTAAAGTTTTTGGGGACATTATGGTTGGCTGGCAACGCTTTGGAAGTGAAAATGCCGTTGTTAGATAGTATTTACACGGAGCACTGGAACACCGATGTCTAGCTCATATCTACAACTCTCCTATTGGGAGCTCTCGTCGAAGCCGTTGCTGGACCAGTGGATCGTTCTCTGACCCAGAAGCTGCTCTCCTGTTCGGTATGTGTGTAAAAGAGAGCTCCTTCTGGATTTGCTTATCAGGCCACCTTTGGCCATGTCAGAGCCAGATCAAGGTATCAGCCCCTGGAGCCATACCTATTATACAGGGAGTAAACGTTAAAAAAGATCCATCCTCGCGGTTAAAAGGTGCGGCTAATTAATAAACCTTAGATAACCTAGCGATTATATATATTATACTATTTTATTCGTATAGGTAATAGCTTTCAATTTTATTATAAGCGGCCTCCGTCTTTTTTAATATTAATATTCTTTTTTTAATTTTATCTTAATTAAACTTAATAAATTCGCTTAACCTTTTTAAATTTTAAATTATCATAATTAATATTTAATAATAAAAGTTCTTTTCGCTCGATTATTATATTTAATTTAATATTAATATATTCCTTATAAGTCGGTAAAAAAGATTTTGTATTAATAAGACTATTTTTACCGTTATACTTAAATAAATATTTATAATTTATTTAATCTTTATTAATAAATATAATAATTTAAAACGGTATAATAAATAATAAACATTTTTTATTGCTTTTATAAAAAGAAAAGCTATTTTCTTTATCTTATAAATTATTTAATAATGTTTATTTTTACGATTTATATTGCAATATTAAATTAATGTAGCGTTCTTATTGTTATAAATACTATTATAAAATTTATAACTTATTTTAAAAAAAACTTCTTTATAAGTAATTAATATAATAAAAATTTTAATAATAAAAAAGTAATCTAAAAGTCCGATCATAGAATTTTAAGCCTTAAGAATTAATAAAAAGCCTAAGGCTTTCTAAATTTAAATAAAAGAATTAATATACCGGCGTCGTAAATTAATATACCGGCGTCGCTTTTATACCGACATCGCTATTTAAATTTTTAATTAATTTAAAAAAATATTATTAATATAATAAAATTTTATTAAATATTTATAAAATATTTTAACCTTTTTATTTTATTAATCCCTTTAATTTAAAGTTATATTATTAAGATTTTAAATTTAATTTATATTATTAATTTATAATAGCTTTTTTAATTAAAATTAAAAATGTTTTATAAAGCTAATTTTAAAATAGAATTTATATTAATTAACCTCCTTTTTTATAAAAGTAATTATTAATTAATTACGGCTTTTTATTATTATTTAATTAATCGCTATTATCTCTTTTTTTAAAAAATAACCGCCTAAACGTTAATTAATTTTATAAAATTAATAATTTTTAAAAATAATATAATTTTATTATCGAACTTTTAATTAATATATTATAAAATACGCGACGTTTTATAAATAATTATCCTAATATAAAACTTATATTATACTTTATTTATTATTTTTTGAAAAGAAAAATAAAAACGTAACGGATTATTTTTTTACGATTTTTTTTTAAAATATAGTTTTTTTTTTTAATAAATAGTTTTAATAACTTTTTTATTTTATAATAAAGTAGTTTAATAGTGCTTTTTAGTTTATTTTATAAGTTATTAAAATTAATTAATAATTAATAATAGTACTCTTTTAATAATAAAAATATATTTATTAATAATAAAAAATATAAGGTTTTTAAATTAATTTATTATTTTATTTATTTTTATATTAATCTTTTTTTTTAAAATAAAGCGTTTTTTTAAATTATAACTTTTTATTATATTTTAAATAACCGATTTGTTTTAATTTTTATAATTAAAACTTTAAATTTATTGATTTTTTATAATTTAAATAAATTTATAATATTCTTTTTTAACTAAATTAATATTTTTATAAAAGTTAATAGATTTAGTATTATAAAGCGGAATAAGTATAAAGCTTAAGGCTGAATTATTTAATATACTTTTTAATATAATCGGTTTAATAAGCTTAAGCTTATATAAAATATTAATATTTAATAATATAAATTTTATAAATATAGTTATAAATAGTAAATTATTATCGAGGTTTAAAAAGAAAATAAATAGCTTTTATATTATTATTTAGACTTTTAATATAATTAATATAATTATAGTTTTAATTTTAAAAATCTTTATATATTTTCTATATCGTAAGCTTATTTAAATAATTTAAGATATTATTAAAATTATAAGTTAATAAATTAGGATTTAAGTTTATAATATACGTATTATTATTTAAAAATAGTTTTTAAAGTTTTTATTTATTTAATAAGATATTTATAACGTTAAGGCTTATATAAATTAAAAAAAAATAATTAAATATTTATTAATTATAATATTAATTAAGCGAGTTAATAAATAAAATATCTTATATATAATAAAATAAATAAACGATAAGTTAAACCGTTTTATTAACCTTATCTAGACTTTTTTTTATTATTTTTAAATATAAAAGCGATTTTTTAAGGTAATTAGTTTTAAAAATATTTATAATATTAATTATTTTAAGCTCTTTTTTTTAAATTATTAAATAAACCTATTTTAAATTTATTTATAATATTACGTTGAGTTTTATTAATAATAAAAGATTAAAAGGTTTTCAATTTCTTTTAATAAGTATCCGCTAATTTATAAACTAATATTTAGTCCGTTACTTTATTATGATTATTATAAATAATAATAAATAAATAAAGGCTATATTAAATTAATAGTTCTTAAACATTTAATAATAACTCTATATTTATTATATTAATTTTAATATTATACATAAGGCTAAATAAAAATAGGTTAAAAAACGTAACTATAATAATAATAATAATAGGTTTAATAATAAAAGATATTAACTATTAAAATAAATAATAGCTATATTAAATAATAAAGATGAAGCTTATATTAATATACTTATTAATAAGCCCCTTTTTTATATATATTATAGGGTTTTTATAATATAAAAACTTATTATTTTTATTAATATTAAATACGTTTTTAAAAAAACTTAAACTAAGCTTTATAAAAAGTTTAATCATTAATATTTAATTTTTTAATACCTTTATATTATATACTTATTTTTAAAAATATAATAAGCCCGCTATTCTATTTAAAAATATTTAAATTTTAATATATATATTATTTTTAATATTAAATTAAATAATACTAATATTAAGAGTTATTTTTTAAACAGTTTTAATTATTTATATTAATTTATTAATATTATATAAGATATAATTAATAATTAAAAAATACGTTTTAAATAAGCTTATATTAAAAACAAAATATTTATAAGCTAAGAGTATATAATCTTTCTTTTAAATATTTAAACGAACTTTTAATAATCCCTTTTTTAAAATATTTCATATTAATTAAAAAATAATATCGATTAATATAAAAAGTAATACTATTTAATAAAAAACTATTTTTAGCTTTTTTAAAAATTATAATTTTAATTATATTATTTTAATTAAACTAAGTATTTTTTATTATTATAAAATCTATTTTAAAATAATAAATTTAATTATTTTTAATAAATAAAAAATATATTTTTAATAATATTTCTAAAAGACGTTTTTTTTAAATTTATATCGGCGGATTTTTAATTTTAAAATTATTATATCCCTTTATAATAAGTTAAAAAATATAATATAGCTTATTTTATTATAATTAGCTTTATTTAAAAAAGGCTAATTAATTAATTAAGCTTATATTATTTATAATAACTAAAGCGTAAATAATAAATAATAAAGTTATATTATACGCTTTTTATATAATAAGAATAAAATAATATATTAATAATCTTTCTTAATATTTTCTTATAAATTTCTTAATAAAATCTTTTAAATATATTATAAAAATTTTAAAAAAAGCTTTTAAATTTTTTTAAGGATTTCTTTATAATTTCTTTTATAAAAAATAAAAAAAGATTTAAAAGTTTTTTTATAATTTTTTTTAAAAAGTTTTTAAAAGTTTTTTAAAAAAATCTTAAGCTTTTTTAAATGTCTTTTTTAAAAGGATTTTTTAAAGAATTTTAAAAATTTTATAACCCTTTTTTTTAAATAATTATATATAAAAAAATAAGAAATTTAATTATAAATTATAATAATTATTATTATATAAAAATTAATTTCGATTATAAAATCTTTATAAATATAATAATTTATATTATTATAAAAACTATATTTTAAAAAGCTTTATTATAAAATAGGGTTTAATATATAAAATAAATAGATATATAAAGAAATTAATATAATAATATAATAATAAATATATAACTTTATAAAAAATATAAAAACAATAAATATATATATATTAATTTATTCTTTTTAAAAATATCGCTTTTAAATATAAAAATAATTTTTATTTTATTTTATATTAATATTTATTACGTATAAAATTTTAAATAGTATTGAAACTTTTAATTTAAATTTTTATTTATAGGCTTTTTTATTATAGTATTTTTTAATATTTCGGTTATTTTATTAATAATATAAAAAAATAAAATAGTAATATTATTAAAAAATATATTATTTATAATCTAAACGTTTAGCTCGACCGTAGTTATATAATAAAAATTAGCTCAACGTATATACATAGCGAGTCGCTTATTATAGCGAGTCGCTTACTTCTAAATACCCTCTTATTATTTATATAAATTAATTAAGCTATATCATATGAAATTAATTAAAACTATTTATTAGCCTCTTTTTTAAAAATCTCTTAAACTACTTAATATATTTATATATTATATCTAGTCTTTCTGTAGTTATTATATTACCGCCTGCGCGATTTAACCCCCTCCGTACGAGCATCTTTTTAATATATATTTTCGCTTTTAATATTAATAACCCCTTTTTTTATTTGGATTACCTCGGCCTTAGTAATATTAAATAAGCCTTTAAGACGTAATTATGTTTTTTTAGCCCTCCGGTATTTACTTAATATTTTATTTACTATATAAAGCCCGCGGTACTTAGCTTTAATAAAAGCTAATTTATATATTAACTTATTAATATTTTTAATTTATAAATTAATAATTTTATATAAATATATTAATAAGCTATATTAATAGCTATGGATCCGTTTCTTAAGTGAAATAAAGCTTTGTACGGCGTTATATATTATAGTTAGTATTTTTAGGTCCTAAGAGCCCTAGCTATTTAGGCGTAAGTTAGATAGTATTAACGTTTTGAGTTTAAAATCTAGGCGGGAAATAACTACTTTTAAGTTAAAAAATATAATTCTAACTTATTTAAAACTAACTCGTATATTTTCTTTACTTATTAAAATAAAAAAGGCTATTTTAAAAATAAAAAAGAAGTCGTCCTTAGTAATATACGTAATTTATATCCGTATTATTTTTTTAATTTTTTTATTATACGAAGCCTTTAGTAGGTTAAAATAATTAATATTAAAAAACTAAAATTCGTATAATAAATAGGGAGGTATATAAAGAGCGATAATACTATGCTTTTTATAATAATTATTAAATTTAGTCGATTTATAACTATTATAGTTATTAAGGATTAAAAGCCGTTTAATACTCTTCGTATAAGACTTTATATATTTTTTAAAATACTTTAATTAATCTAGGCCGATTTTATTTATAATCTATTTATTTTCGCTAAGGTAAATACGTTATTTAGGGGGGAATTAGCTATTAATATATTACGAAAAGAAATAATATTTACTTTTTATAATAACGTACGGAGGTAGCGCTTAGCTATCCGTATATATATTTTAAATAATAGAAACCTATTCTTAATTACTAAGCTGTTTCGTACGAAGCCTTTTATAATAATTAAAAATTATAATAACCTTTATATATAAAAATATTTTTATTAAAAAGCCCGTCTTATTAAAATTATAAATATTATAATTATATATTCCGTACTTCGTAATCGTATTTCGTACGAAAGTAAACTAAGCTTAAATAATTATAAAATCCTTAACTAATACTTTTTAATAATCGATTCTATATCGAAAATACGTTTTTAATTATAATTAATATGGTATAAAGTTCTCTATTTATCGCGGTTCGATATATATTATGTTGCGTTTAGTAAAGAGGTAATCGGTTATATCTCGTACGTTATTAAATCGTAATAAAAATCCTTAATTAATTAAATTAATAACTCGTTTAAGAATTACGGTTTTTTTTAAAAAAGTTATTTTTTTTAAATTCGTATAAATTTTATATTAAAATAATAAGTTAGCACGTCGGTCGCGAAGTATTATTTTTAAAATATTATAAATAAAAGCTATTTTTCGTATAGATAAATTTAAGTCTTTTTTAATAGTTTAAAGTATAAAGATAATACGATTTTTATTTAAAAAAGAATTTATAATCGTATGTAAAGAAAAATAGTTATTAAAATAGAAGGTATAGAAAGAAAGGAAAGTAGGCGACTCGCTATGATAGGCGACTCGCTATGTATATACGTTAATTAAACTTAATATTATAAAAATAACTTCCGACTATTATAATTATTATAATAATAGTTTCGTATTTATTAATGTAAGAAATTAAAACAAAGTCTTAATTATAATAGTATTTTTTTTAAACGGTTTTATTTATAAAATAAATAAATTTAACTATATTTATTATGAATTTAAATATAATAAAGACTTTTATTAAATAAAAGTATAAAATAGCGAATTCGTTTATAATAAAGTTTATAAAAATCATATAAATTATATAATATATAATAATTATATTAATAATACTTTTATTATAAAAAATAATATATATTTATTATTTTTTTAATCGATTATATCCGGCTTAGGCTCGAATTTATAAGTTATTTCCTTAGATAAAAACTTATAAAAAACTTTTTTAATTATTAAAATACGAGCTTTCTTTACGGCTATAATAATACTTATGCCCGTAAATATAATATTTATTTTTAAAAAATAAAGGGTAAAAATATTAATAAAGAGTTATTATTAAATATTTTAAAATAAATTGTTATTTATAAATTTATTAATAAAATTAATAGCGATACGCTTATAGAAAGTTTAATAAGAGCTATTAAATAATTAATTAACGAATTTTAGTCTTAAAAGTTTAATAGCGATAGCTTTATTAAAAGATTCTCGGAATATATTTCCTATTCTTAGGTTATTATTTTATAAGTTTAATATAATAATAACGAAGTCTTTTTTAATTATATTATTAATAATTAAGGTCTTAATTAAGTTTTATATTACTTTAAAGAAATAAAATAATTTATATACCTCCGCCGTTAATTTGTTTAAAATTATTCTTATTAATATATTAAAAAAGGGTAATATATATATTATTAACGTTACGGTTTTAATTAATTATAATTATAACCGGTATTTTAATAAAAATAATAAAAAAATTAAAAGTTTATAAAATTATTTTAATATCGATATCGGTATTTAATACGTTTAATAATTCCTTATCGTTATTAAGTTTTTAAAAAAAAGGGTCGAGATTTATAAAAATTACCAGTTTCTAAATATAATTTAATAATATTTAATTTTTATATATAAAAATATTATCTTAGCCGAGCTTAATAATATAAAATAGCTAAAGGTCTTTAAAAAAAACTTATTAAATATACTTTTTATTAAAATTAATATTAAAATCTAAACGATTTTAAAAAATAATATATTACATAATAAAAATATTTAATTATATATATTTATATTTAATAGCTTAGCTTTATAAATAATAAATAAAAGCTTTGTTTTTATAAAAATATTCGCTTATATATTTATTTAATTTAATACTTTTAATAAAAAATCTTTTTATTATAAATATATAATATATAAAAATAGTTACGAAATTTAAAATCTTTTAAATACCGGCCGTTCTTATAAAATATATAAAGACATCTTTTAAAATCGTAATTTTTTAAAAAATATTAATATATAATATTAAAAATAAAATATTATATTTATATTTTATAATTAAAAAAGGGGTTATAAAAAGAAATCTTTTTATATATTAAATAATATATTACTAAATAAAAATAATAATAATAATAAATTAAAAATTAAAAAAAAGAAAAAATAAATAAATAATAAATAAAAATATACAAAAAAGATTATATAAAAAATCGTAAGTTTTTATAAATATAAATTTTAATAACCTTTTTTTTAAAAAATCTTTTAAGATTTCGTAATAATAAATAATAGTATTATTACGTTATTATTTAATAATAAAGTTTTAAAAAGTAAATTATTATTTAAGCTTTTTTATTAATTAACGGCTAGTTTATATAAATAGCGGGGCTAGTTTTTAATAATTACTTTATTAAAAGGTAAAAATAATATTTTAATATTTTTTTAATTTCTTAAAGAAATTAAAAAACTATTATTTTTTTATTTTTATTAATTTTTAAAGAAATTTTTTTAAAGACTTCTTATTATATTATTCTTTTTAACCGTCGTAATTTTTATCTTTTTTTTATATATTAAATAATAATTTGTTAAGTTTTTTTAATATTAATTAAATAGCTTTTAACTTTATTATAATATATTATATATATATTTATTTTTAACGTCGGTTAATTATCGATTATAAATTCTTATTAAATTTAATATTTTTATTATATTTATATTTATTTAAATATTATAAATATAAGAGTAATTCTTTTATTTAATAAAATATTAAATCTTTTATGGCTTTTAGTTTTTAATTAAAATACGTTTATTTAAAATTATTTTTATTTTATAATAACTAAATTAATCTTTTTATTTTATATATTATAAATCGTTTACGTTTATTAATACGGCCGGTAGTATTATTTAATAAAAAAGATTTTTTTTTAAATTTTAAATTAATATTAAATAGGTTATTAATATTATTAAGTGAATATTTATAATTAGTAAAAAGTTAAGGTTATATACTAAGGGATTAATTCGTTTTATTATTTATATTAATTTAATATATTAAAAGGATATTTTTTTTCTATAGGTTTTTAAATAGTTTATAACTTTTTTTTAATTAAAAGTAAACGAAATCTTTTAAAACGAATATAATACAATAATATTCCTAACCAAATATTATTTCCATTTATATTTACCCCTTTATAATAAAAGTCTTAGTTTTTTTTCAAAATATATTTTTATTAAAAATAGTATTTATATTATTTAATAAGTTTAATAAGCCGTTAATTTTAAATTTATAAAATAATTCGTTTAATCAATATTTTATTATCATAACGTATCCGTTATTAAGGCTAAATTATATAATAATAATACTTTTAAATTAATTTATATTTAAATATAATATATATTATATTTATAATACGGTTTCGACGATTAAATTCTTTTATTTTAATTATTTATTTATTTAAAAGTAATAAATTATTAAGAACTTAAAATTTATATTAAGTTTTTCTATAAAGTTTATTAAAATTTAAATAAGAATTTTAAATCTTAATCTAAAATAATATTTTTAAAAATTCTTTAATTATAAAATTAAAATATTTATATAAATATAATAGTTTAGTTTATTAAAATATATGTCATATAGCTAAAAATAATAATAATAGATTTTAGAAATTTATTTATAATAGTTATTATTAAGTTAAAAAAAATTAATTTAATAATTTTTATAAAATATTATTTACGGATATTTTAAATAAACTTATAATAAAACTTATAATAATAATATAAAAAAGAATCGCCGGTATTAAAATAAGTTATAAAGCTTTAATTAATTTTCCGTAATCCCTTTTTATAAATTTATAAATTAAATAATATCGATAATACTTTTTAATTTTTATTATTAAGTTTTTAATAACGAATTTATTTTATAATTTATATTAAACTCGTTTATTTTTATAATATGAATTTTTATTATAAGTTATAATAATAAGTTCCGTAACTATATCGTTTAAAATATATAATTTTTACTTTTTATTATAATTTAAATAATAAAAAATCTTTAATTTAAATTAAATAATAAATAAAAATTTAAATCTATTTATTATAATATTTTATAATATTATTTTTATCTAAAAGTTTTTTTATATTTTTAATAAATCCGTTTTTTTATATTAAAAGAAATTAATACGTTTGTAAATTAATATATTAATAATTCGATTTAAATTTTATTTAATTATCTTTCATTATTTAAGTTTAAATATTTATTATTTAAAAGTATTTTTAAAAATATATTTAGGATAATATTATTTACTTTTAGGATATAAATATATATAAATTAAAATTATAAAAGATATTTAATAGCTAAAACGAATTAAAAATTAATACATTTATAATTAGTTATAAATAAAATTATTTACTACTTAGCTTTATATATAAAAGCGTAGTTGGTAAAAATAATAATTAAATTCTTTTTAATTAATTAAACTATTATTCTCGTTTTATAAATAATTTATATAAGGTATATTACCTCGAGTTTTATAAATTAGTATTTCTTTTTAATATTTAAAAATACTTTATTAAAATATATAATAAATTAAATTAATATATAAAAAATCAAGGTTTTTAAACTCTATTTTATACCGGGTTTAAAATAAAAAAGTATTATATTATATCCTTTTTTATAAAAAGTATTTAATTATATAAATAATATATAAAAAGGATTATAATAAAATAAAATAATAGATTTTATAAAAGCTTATTTAATACTTAAAAAGGACATTAATTAAGTTAATAATTATTATATTATAAAAATATTTCCTAATCGATTTTTAATATTTCTTTTTTATTTAGGCTTTTATTAATAAATTAGTTTTTTATTATTAAAAAAAGTTAATTTTTATAATATAATAAAGGATAAAATATTAAAAATAATTTATAAAATTTACTTATTTTTTTAAAATTAAAAGGTTTTTAAAAAAATATATAAGCTTAAATATTTTCATACGATTTTTAATATTTTAAAATTTAAATACGTTTATATTAAAACTTAAGAGTTTAATAAATAAAAAACCGATAAGTAACTTATTAAAAAAATATAATATCTCTTTTTTTTAAAATAAAAAATATTTATTATAAATAAATATATACTTTTTTTTTATATTTAAAACGATAATAATATTATTTATAAATACTTAAGTATATTTTTAATATTTAAAAAAAAGATTATTAATAAACTTTTAGGTATAAGCTAGCGAATTATAAAAACTTATTAATATAATTATTAAAATTTCTTATTTATAATAATTAATTATTATTAATTATTTGTAATATTTTTCTTTAATTAAAAATTAGTAAAAGAATATTTTTATATCGATTTTAATAATAAAAGCTTTTTTTTTAATTTTTTATAATTTTAGATTATAATAGTAATAAGTATACGTCCGGAATTAAAATTTTATTAAATATTTAAAAATCTATTATTATATATTTTTTACGTTTTTTATTTATTTGTTTTTATATTATAAAAAAAAGAGTTCTATAT